CCACAAAATCCTGTTCTTCGCCAGAGCCAATGCTTACCAAATGCGCAGAGACCTGCGAAGATTGGCCAAGTTCACACATTCCTTCAGCGACCGTTTCTCTGCCAGGACAAAGTGTCAACAGAAATGCTGATGGGAGTGTGGGGTCTAGACAGAAACGTGGCTCATTCTGTTCATCTCACTCCTTCTTTTCCGTCTCAGAAGTGCTTTTGGCCGAACCGGTAGAGCGTGCCTCCTCACATCCCAGTGATACTCCAGAGGACAAGAGTCTTGGTTTTGGTGCTGCGGGCCTCCTCACAGCGGCCCTCCGCTTCCTTGAAAGTACCAGGCCACTTCAGCAACTGGTAGCAAAAGCCCCTGCCAGGCGGAGAACAAGTTCCTGATTCCTGGACCCTGGAGCAGTTTTGTGATGTTCTTTTATCCAATGGAGTGTTTTGGTCCTCATAGGACTCCAACCAGAACTCCAAAGCTAAAAGTATCCTTGTGCTGATGAACCTTTAGTTGATCACCTTTCTGCTTGGTGACTGGTGATCAAGTTTAGGAAGACCCCAGACATTGGTGAATTGATCCAGCCCTGTTTGAATGTGCAAGTGAAACAGGGATCCGCACCTGAAACTTCTCCAATCGTCTTTGCATTCGCCCTCGGACTTGCAAATGGCCTGCAGGGGTTACTGGTGATGAATCTCCACGAACTTCTATTCAATCATTCCTGACCAGAAAAATAGGGTCGTGTCCATAATCGCTGACTGAAAGCTGGCTTGCCCTTAGTTTTTAAGAGTCCGGACCAGTCGAAAATCTGTCAGGGCCAAGCCGAAGCATTATTTTTCTGTCTATCTCTATCTACTGTGTATCTGTCTGGTTTTGGGCCCTTAACATCCCAATTATCTGCCTGACCCAGGGAGAAGCTTTCGGGTAGATCGTACCAAAGGCCGTCCGCCCAGATCTCCGGCAACTTCTCGTTCACATTCTGCCAGCGGCGGTGGCTTGGTTCTGACAACTGATCACCGTAGCCTTCGTGCAAAACATTAGACCATCTGCAACACTTGCGGCCATCATTCTCTTGCCCTCTGCTCCATACATGTTGCTTGTTTTGCGATGTTTTGCGTCAATTTGCCCCAAGTGCACAAGACATCCTATACAATCCTTTCATCAATTGGCAGACAACCTTCGTGCACCGTGCACTGTGGCAGTGCATATCAATGTGGTCATGGGGTTCTCATGGCACACGTACAAATCTTCCATCGTTTGGCTCCTGAAGGTTGAAATTCATGACGGCAACCTCAAATGGTGCGATCGACCAGCTGTGTTTATCTTTGTCTCCACCCCCAAGTGGACCTAAGAACAAAATAGAAGGTGAACTGATCCATTTGTATCTACACACACGCACAGACACGAGAGTCTCTTCTTCTCAACCTGCAAGCACAATCAGTCCTCTCTTCCCCTTTCAACAACCTGCAGGACTTGGTCCGAGTCCAACTATCCCTTTGAGTGGCAGCAGTGCATTGCTACTACACCTTGACCAATTCTGACCAGGTTCTGCACCTTCCAAACGGAACCATCTTCCAACCCAAGCATCACTCTCATCATGGCCGTCGAAGTTGTTGGGCTCACCCTCAGCCCAGTTGTAGTAGGCATCGTAGCCACTGTCCGACCTCAACGCGGGCCGGTCACGAGCTCGAACACCGGTGCCAAGTGGGGTGACGACTCTGCGGTGGACAAAAGGTGTGTAATTTGTGTGTGTGTGTGCCTTTTTCTTTTCCAAAACACACCTTTCCTTCCACCTGATGGTTGTTCTTTTTTTCACGACGGCATGCCGTCATATAGTGGGTCCGACTCAGAAAGCACGAAGGCTGCGCTTCGGAGATCGGCCGAAATCCAAGGGGCTCATCCAACCAACGCCAGCTTTCCGTGTTGGGAAATTCCTGTGCCACATCGATGAACGAATCTGGTCCGTTTCCGAGTCAAACATTTGCTGGGAAAGCCTGCTCCAAGCGAACCTGGGTGTACACAACCAGTTGCTGCTAAAGTGTTAAAGGTTTCCTGGAAAAATATCAACGTTGCTGATACGTAAGACTTCATGAAAAATCCATGAGCCTGAGTTGTCTCAAAGTACGGCTCACCTCTCAGCCACATTTTCACATGCTTCTTGTCTTGTCTCTAGACTCACGATGTTTCAACAGTCACAGAAAACTGGACAGGTGAGAGGTAGTTTAAGAAGTCATTCTGTTTGCCTGCAACAAGGACCGTTTCTGGTCAGGCTTTTCAGCCCACCAAAACCTAAGGCCTCTTCCAAGCGGCCTTTTGGGCAAAGCACACCCCAAAAAGGGCAAAGCACACCGAATGTTCAGGCTGAACACAGTGGAAGATCCACGCGAAGCGCACTCGACCCTCTCTTCGCCTGGAAGCCCAACCAGCAAAATTGCCGCCCACCTCGGAAGTGGGCGACGGCCCGCCGTCGCGAAATCGTCCGATCGATTCGAACAAATCTCCAAACCTGAAAGACACGGTGAATACTGTGGCCGCACTGTGGCCACTTGGCCAGGCTGTCTTCCAAACCTTTGCCATTAAATGCTGTGCATAAAACCCAACAAAATCCAACAAACATGAACATGTGACATGTGTAAACTGCAGCAGGTATTTAGTGCCAGGGCCCCAATGAATGTGTTTGCAAGTCATGTGGCGGAAGGGTTCTCTATCTAGTACTTGCAAGTGGCAAAGCTGCTTGACGAAGTTGTTCTCCTCTTCCGAATGGATCGATACCAATGTAGAGTCATGTTCCTCTGCCGTCTGCACGAAAGCGTCTTACTATGGCACTTAAGAATCATGACAAGTCACACACACACACTTGGTTAAATCACCTAATTGCGTACAGTATCTGGAATTTTGCGAGAACAATGACCGGATCAAGAACAGTAGCAGCAGTCTGAACAGAACTCCACACCGTCCCCTCAGTTGGCTGCACATATTGACTCTCCTTGCAGCGTTCTGCGGCTTCAGCAAACACGAGGTGGTGCCGAATAAGGAGATAGCCTTGGCCGTTCGCAAGTGATGTCCTTTTCGGTGTATCTGGGTGCCAGGCCAGTGTAGCCAAGTGGCAGTAGCCCTGGAAACTTTGCCAGGTCTGTGGACATTCGCCTTCACCCCTCTGACATGAGCCTGGCACAAAGGTCACGAAACCGGAGAAGATCCGAATATATCCGTTGCTGATCCTTTTGCGCAGTTCAACAAAATATCGACTCTGCAGTGAAAGAAAGTCCATCGACCCGTATCATTGAATATCTGCGATTAACTTTGCTAAAGGACAAGGAACGACTTCAAAACAGTCTCGACGGTATCAACTGTCTCAACACTTTCCCCTCGCACCGTCGAGGACACAGTGAGGCAATCGCTTGCAGATGGCCACTGGAAGGTTGAAGTAAGGAGATGCGTCGTACCACCTGCGGTTCGCCAATGAAGACTAGCACAATGGCCAAAACAAATTCCAAAGAGGAAGTCTTGCAAAGGGTTAAAGGGTCTATGTAGGCGAGTTTTGCGGCTGTAGGCTGTAGGCTGTAGCCGTAGCCATTGTGTCCAAAGTTGCCTGGTAGCTTGTTTGCCAAAATGAAGGCGGGTTCTTCATTCTGGTCGTGGGATGTCTGCCCCAAGCCCTGACACTCAGAGTCAAAGTGTCTTCCCCAGTGTCGAAAGCCGTTTTGCACAGCCAGTGAAACGCCAAAACAATTGTGAACGAAAGGGGAACGGTCAAAATTCCACAACATAATTATGTCAAAAATCATACGTAGCTACAAATACTTATTTTATCGCTTAAAGCACACTTTTGAATCCGAAAATCCCGATGAAAAAGATGCTCCCGAGGCCTGCCATCCGCCCAAGGCTTAGCCGCCTGGACGGCCGCGGCAGCCTTGGAAAAAGGCTCCGGTCGTGAGGTGAGTCCATTGGGGTCGATGCCAGGTACCGGGAGCGTTCTGTCTGTTCAACCGACCAAGGCTGTGACCAAGGCCATCTATGATTGGAACTGCTGTGGGAAACGTCTATATCGTTTATCTGCATAAAAGCAGATAAAGAGTACGTATATATATGTATATATGTGTTCCACGTATGGCAATCCAAAAGGCCCTGAACCATCCCAACCCAGCCGTGGTGATGTAGGGAAGAAAGGCTAAGATGTTCTTTGTTTGGTCTCTTTGAGAGTATGACAGGAAAGCGCCGTGAGCCACACAGTTGTTCATGTGTTCAAGAATCCAAAAATGCTCTACTCTCTCTCTCTCTCTCTCTCTCCTTGCCATGTCACCCTTGCCATGTCCTCGCCACGTCGCCCCTTTCATCCTAGAGGCTGACGCCAGCAAGACCTTCTGCATGATGGCATGGCAAGAAGCTTCAAAACGAGGCTTTTCTGGCTCTTTTCGGATCTCAGGGATCTCATGATGGCATCAGTTCTCAACACCTGGGCACCTGGAGGTGTTTGTCCTTTTTTTTGGACGTGAACGGTCTTGGGAGACAAAGCAACACCCAAAACACCTGGGAATATCTGGAATCTTGAATGTTCGACTGGATCTGTAGTTGTGGTCACCTTATTCGAAGGGACTTAGAGACTGACCACAGAGACTCAAAAAACATGGGTAACCGGGTAACCCACGTCTCAATGTATCGTCCTTGTCTTTCGAAGGTGTGCACTCTCAAGCTGTAGGAGTTGGTCACTGGGTGCAATGGGTCTTCTCTTTGCCATGGCAAGGTTCTGCTGTTGCCAGAACTTGCTGCTGAACACTCTGCAGAGACTGGATGAGGTTCAATCAAAGGACTCATGCGAACTGATACGGGATCTGGCCTCTAAACAATAATGGGCCGGCCATGGCCGGCCCCAGAAGTCCTTCATAATCTATCAACAAGAATCCACCTCCACCCCCACCCCGGTTTCACTCTGTTTCACTGTTTGGGTGTTCAGTGTTCTCGATTTTCCACGTTGAGGCGTTAGCCCACACGTCGCTCGGGCGGGGGGGCGGCACTGGGCCACAGCAGATCCCTCCGCGTCGGGCCACACTCGGACGCCGCTCTCGCCCGCCAGGTTCCGGAGCTCCTCGTGCAGGGCCTCCAGGGATGTCTCCTCCAGGAACACATGTACAGGGAAGGTCATGAAAAGCATTGACAAGGCACTCACATCCCCAGTGTGTAAGTGCTTCTCCAAAGAAAGTGTCCAGGAAACCCTACATGCCCCAACTCCGGCCCCCACTCGCTCGCCCGAGATCAGGCTCACCTCAGTGAGTTGGAACTTCAAGAGCCGAGTCCGGAGGTCCAGCTGCTTGCTCCTGATAGAGTGGGAAGCTGTGGGGCATAGCTTGAGCCTGGAGGGAAACAGGTTTCACATGGGTAAACATGGCAGGCCCAGGACCCTTCCACAGCATCCATTTAATCCAATACACCTATCTGCGCCGGCAGGTTGAACTCAGCTGTTCCTTCTCTGTCGACCATGTCTACCCGATAGCGGGCTCCTTGGATTGGTTGCCGTCCTGTCGCGCATTGACACTGACGCAGCCACAAAGCAGAAGAGATTGTCAAACTACGAAAAATCGAACTGTGCCAAAGACTGCAACCGAACAACTGCCCAAAATTACTTTGTCGAATGATCCCATTTTAAGGGCGATTTGGAAGAAGACAGGGCAACTAAACGCTGCATGACATGTGCATGGAATGCATGGACCAAGGAAACATTGTAGACATGTTCTGACAATGTTCATCAAGTGTGGTATGGGAAATGGTTTGAATGTGTTCTGCAGTCCTTTGGCATGCGTTCTGACATTTGTCTTGCCGTGAAGTCTGAGTTCTGACATGTTCTGGCTGTTTGTGTGGGCATCTGTTTCTGACATGTGTTCTTGCATCAAACCTGGCGTATATTCTGAAGTCTGTTATGACATATGGTCTAGTTTCGGTTCTGATGTGTTCCAAAAGTATCTATGGTCTGTCATGTAATCTGACACCTGTTCTGGCCATCAAATCTGCCATTTGTTCATTTGTTCTGACATGTTCTGACATGTCTTCCGACATTTGCTCTGATATGTATTCTGGCATGAACTCTGACATCTGTTCTGACATCAATTCTGCCATGGTCGGACATAGTTGTTGTTGGAGGAGGAGGAGGAGGAGGCGGTGGGAACACTGACATATAATCTATAAAGACCCTAACATGGGGGAAACAAGATGGAGCCCACGAAACCGAATGCAGACACGATCGAAAAGCTACAAATGACACTCTTGTACGACACTCTTGTGGGACACTCTTGTGGGTCACTCTTGTAGGAAACTCTTGTGGGACACTCTTACGGGACACTCTTGTGGGACACTCTTGTGGGACAGTCTTCTGGGACACTCTTGTGGGACACTCTTGTGGGACACTCTAGTAGGACACTCTTGTGGGGCAC